TTTCAAGCTCTATCTGTCTCACATACTTTGGGCATGTTGCCAGAAGGGACCAGTACTTGGAGAAGGATATCATATTGGGAAGGGAAGAAGAGACAGTACAGGAGAGGAAGACCCCAGATCAGGTGGATTGACACAGAAACTAGGGTAATGGGGGTAGGTGTGTCAGAGGTATTGAGATCGGCTCAGAATAGGGCAGAGTTCAGAGCAATTTTGCAAAGGGTCACTATGAGTCACAGACGATTTGATGGCACATAACATTTTGTGTGTGTGTGTGTGTGTGTGTGTGTGTGTGTGTGTGGTGGCCTAGTGACAAGAAGTTGTACTCCAATCCTAAAGGCATGCAGTTTGAGGCCACCAGCTGCTCCGGAGGAGAAGGAGGGGCAGTCTTCTCTTGTGCAATTAACTGCCTCTGAAAACTCACCAGAGGGTCAGCTTTCAACTCTATGGTACACAACAATATATATCTAAATAATTGCTATTTAGTGACAAGCAGATATAGGATCCAAACTGAAGAAAATGGAAAAGAACTTTGCCAGACACTCATATGTATTTGATGTAAGCTTAGATACTCCCAAGAGAACTCTCTTTGAACTTATTGGTTGCTTATAGCATATCATATCACTTTATAGCAGATATTATCAAGGGAATGAATGAGAAATTATATCAGACTTAAAGTAATGAGTACATACATCATAAGTGTCAAACCAGAGAATCATAAACTGCCAAGCTGACAAACAACTGTAGCCATTATGCCAAGCATTATGTTCTTGTCCAGGGATGGGCCCCTTCTCATAACACGTTAAAGTCAATCCATCTTCTAAAGAACATTCTTCCTGTATTTCTTCCAAGACAGATTTGGTCTCTCTTCTGGCAGTCCACAATACAGTCAACATTCTTTTTCCAACATCATAATTCAAAGGTATTAATTCTTTGGTCTTCCACATTCATTGTCCACCTGCCAAATATATATGAAGTAACTTAAAATACTGTGGCTCGGGTTGGGCACATCACTGTCTTCAAAGAGATGCCTTTGCCTTTTTTTTTTGCCTTTGCCTTTTAATTCCTTAAAGTGATTTTTGAAACTGATTTGCCCAGTGCAATATGTTATTTGATTTCTTGACTACCATTTCAATAGACATTAATTATATGAAATTCTAGACAGCTCCTATTTGCATGAAAATATCTATTTTCATGATTTTCCTTTCTACTAGAGTTGTGAAGATTTATGTTTTCTTCACGCTGAGGTGTAACCCATATTATTTGAACTTCTTAAGTAAATGCTTCAAACACTTAGCTTTAGAATGTGAGGTTGTATCATCCGCATGTCATAGGTTATTGACAAGTCTTCCAACCTCTGGCACTTTGAATCTGCCAGTTGCTCTGCAGAAGAAAGACAAGCAACCTCCTCCTGTTCTGATCTACAGCTGAGGAAACTTTGTGGAGGATCACTATGAGGGAGAACCAACTAGAAAGGTGCAACCATTATGGAAAGCAGGTTGGTGCTTCCTCAGAAAATGGAAATTATTAATACTATTTAATTCAACAATTCCACTACTAGGAGCATATCCCAAGAACAGATCCATGTTGACTGCAGCTGTATTTACAAGAGCAAAGAGACAGAAACAATGCAATGGTCCATCAGCAGACAAATGAATAAAGAAAGTATGGTACATTCACGCAATAGAGTATTATGCAACATTGAAAAACAAAAACAAATTTTGTGAAACACCATGTAACACAGATGCATATAGAGGACATTATGCTAACTTAAGTAAGTCAGTAATAAAAAGGGGTATTATGTTGTAAGACCACTATTATAAAAAGCTAAGGAAAGTCTTACACACAAATGGCTCTTGGATGGCTACCAGGGATGGGAAGGGAGGGAGAAGGGAGTAAAAATTAAGAAAGAGAGAAATTGGGTGATGACTGGAAAGGCAATGTACAATGAGGAGTTGCTCAGGCATTGTACCTAATAATTAATTAACAAATTTTAATTAATGCTATACAGCAAAATATGTAAGAATAATTGAATGGAAAAAACCAACATGATTTGTAAGCTTCTTTCTCTCAAACTAAAAAAATAAAAAATGGAATGCCAAGTGTGTTCTCTTTTTTTCTATTCCATGTCTCTGTACAGGTCAATGTATTTACTTTTGTCTTCTCGAGTTGCCCTTTGAAATATTCTGTTCAGCTTTTAATTCATGATTTCTTTCATTTGCTTTAGCGTCTCTACCTTATGGAGCACGGTTCAGAGTCTCTTTTGTCACAGTCTGAACCAGTGGGGAGGATGGACTATGGTCATTCAATTCACAGACTGGCCTGTAAATCTTCTGATTTCTGTGATTTAATACAAGTAAACTGGTGTCTGCCTTCCACCAAAACTTTTATACCATATTTTATTTTGATGGTTTCACACTGTTATTAAAATATTGGTCTCATACCTTGCTATCCTAACAACATGGACAACGAACACTTGAATTAGACATTATGTATACAGTAATTAATATTATAGAACAAAATATTAATGACTAAAAAAACTCAAAACACAATAAACTTTGTAAACTTTGACACAAATCACAATAAAAATGTTTTAAAAAATTAATAAACTAGAAAACATCTGATGGCTTAGTGTGCTGCCAGTACAAAGGTACGTGGTTTGAATGCAACTGCTGCTCTGTGGGAGAAAGGTGGGCTATCTCCTCACAGGAGATTTACTGCCTCTGGAAACCTGCTAGAGGGTAAGCTATGGGTTGGTTCTCACTCAACGGTACACCAAACAAACAGAAAATATCTAGAAAATATACACTCCATAGGATTTTCTGTTTTCATGCTCACAATGTTGTGCAAATATGCCTATCACTTGTTTCCAAAGCTTTGCCACAACCCAAATAGAAACACTCCATTCTCTAGCCCATGGTAACCACTGATTTACTTTCTATCTCTATGTGTTTGTCTATTATAGATATTCTATATAAATGCAATCATACAAAGTAGGTATTATCTGTTGGGATTATTTCTGTTAGTATGTTTTCAAGGTCCACCATTACTGTATCGTATAGTAGAACTTCATTCCTTCATCTGGCAGAGATTGTAAGGACTTATTTTTCCATAGTGGACTAACCTAACCCTTCATTAAGGTTAAGTAATTTCCTTTTTAAATGTTCCTCTCATCTATCTTCATAGAGCCATTAAATCTTATAATATCCTTTAAACAAGAGAAAGTAAAGAACAAATTATTTTATGTCATCTTATTTTTAAAACACTTTTCTACCTTTAAACAGAAAATCTGGCATGTATAGCACTGACCTTGTGAAGGTCACACAGCTTATAGTGACCTCAAAGCCCCCTGCTCCATCTCCCCTTGTTAAGGAGGAAAATAGGCTCGGGGGTTCTTAAGTCTTACCGAAGACAATGTATGAGTCAGGGTCAGACAAGAGCTAGAACCCGTGAACCTGAGTACGTGAGGGCCCAGTTTCCTGTGTAAGGAAAGGACTCTGGTGTCATTGGGGGCCCACGTTGGGATGGGTCATCTAGCTAGCTGGGTTGTACTTCAGATATGTAGAAGTATTTTAGGATCTGATTCTTGGATAGAGACTCACAAATTGGGTTGAATTGGTAATTGATAAACTTATATTTGGGTCTTTTGAATCCTTTAACCGCTGAGTGACAGAGGGCAGGTGTCTTAATAGTCCATGATGGGCAGACATGGTGACCACAGTTCCTGTTCTCTATCCCTTCTGAAGGCTGGCCTGCCTGGTCACTGACACTTTGTTTCTATAAAGGAGAGCCCATCCTGGAGGAGCACATCTCTGAAGGGCTTTTCTGTTAGGCCAGGAAGTCCTGAGCTTCACAGAGTCTTTGGGAAATCAGTACCAGGGAGTGAAGACTGAGGAAGGCGCTGGGGATCAGGAAATAAGATGCATCACTCCTCTTGAGTTACAGGTTTGTCTCAAGTGCAATCTCCTGTTGGTCCTAGTAAAGATCTGATTGTGAGACAGAGAGCAGGAGGGGAGAAGGGGAATCAAGAATCAATTCAGGTATTATGAATCTAAACCTTTCAGAATCTTCCAGGCTGGTGACAAAAAAACTGAATTTACTTTCCGCTGCCTTTTTAGTCAAGCGCCAAGAGTAGAGACCACAAGGGTAGTGTTTGAGGAGCTTAATTTTGAGAAACAGGCAGTGGGCACCCCCCGCCTCGAGGTGGGCAGGAGGAGGGTGAGGATGGCACCCAGCAGAAAGCCAGGCCTCAGGTGCTGGATCCGGCAGGCAAGGCTTCACTCTGTTGTTGCTAGGAATCATAGTCTGCTCCATGCCCCTAACAACAACAGGCTCTTGGAGGGGGATCTGCTGAGTCCATGGAAACTTCCACCTTGGCCATGATGCAAATTACTGGAACATCTACGGGGTGACGAAGGGGTCCACCTCACCTGGTCAAATGGAATAAGCAAGGAATTGCTTAGCAGCTGGGAAGTTTGGGCACAGAAGGGGTGCTGAATGAGATGTAGTGAGAGGCATCAGGAGGAAGCTCTGTGAGGTTTCCTTGTCTGCCCCTCTCTGCTGTGGCTGGTGCTGCTCTACCTGGAGGAGGTGAAGTCTGGTGATCAGGATCTTAAAATTCTGATGCCTCCTCTACGCTGTTCCAGTCAGCTGGTTCGTCCTATCTGCCTGCTCCTGGAATACACTGACTCGAAGCATGGAGGAAAGACTTATTTATGTGTGGTGAGATGGTGGTAATGGTCTCTAGTGTTGGCCCTCTGTCACCTACTGATTTGATAACAAACATGAATCTTGGCCACCTGTTTTCCACCTCTACAGGGCCTCCAACCAGCTGGCCTGCCCTTTCCTGGGACCCATTTGTCTGTACTGTCAGTTCAGGATACTGGGAGGGAATTGTACTCCTCATTCTTCATCTCTTTTCCAATAATTGTTAGAATCTAAAACCACATGTCTCTAAACATTAAGCAATGATGCTGAAAGCAGTATCTAGGGAAGGAGAGTAGGATCTTAAGGAAGTTCGTTCTCATTCCATCTTTTCCACAACTGCTCCTGACTATAACAGAATCCAGTGGCAGAATGAGAAATTCAAGCTGGGCCTGGAATTTCCTAATGTAGGTACCGGGTGTGCGGCCGTGAAGGGGGTCTTTCCCTCCATCTCCTCTCCTCAGCCTGGAGGTTGTAGGCTCAGTGCTTTCTGCTCCACCTCTGTCACTTCAGCTTCTTCTACTGTCTTTCCATGGTGTTCTGTGTTCCACAACCTGTGCTTACGTAGTATCATCCTTGGTGCAGGCCCCTGAATGTGCCAGATCTCATCCTTCCTTCCTCAGGAGAAGGGGTGCTGGGGAGAGTGGTGATGTAACGGGCCTGCCTGGTTTCCCTTGTAGCTGCCCTACCTCCTGGATGGGGCTCACAAGATCACGCAGAGCAACGCCATCATGCGCTACCTTGCTCGCAAGCACAACCTGTGTGAGTGGGGTGGGCAGGTGTGAGGACTTGAGATCTGGCTGCCATTCCCCTAGGACCTAGCTGGATGTGATGCTAAGAGTGAGTGTCTTACATGTGCACTGCAGGTGGTGAGACTGAAGCAGACAATATCTGAGCAGACGTCTTGGGGAACTAAGTTACGGACACTTGAGCTGTACTGGGCAGGAGATGCTACAATCCTGACTTTGTGGTTTTTTGGTGAGTGGGCTTCACTGAGCGAGCGCTCTTGATTCCCATATGCAGTCATCCTGTTTGACAGTTGAACTTGTTGTTGTTGTGCACCATTGTGTCAGAACCGACCCACAGCTGACCCTCTGGTGGGTTTTCAGAGGCAGTTAAGCGCATGGGAGGAGAATGCCCATCCTCCCAGAGCAGCTGGTGGAATTAAACTGTGTGTCTTGGGAATGCAATGCAACTTCTTGCCACTAGGCCACCAGAGCTCCCTAAGAACTAGGAATTGTCCAAATGATCTCCTAAATTGCTCCCAGGGTGGCTTTGATAACCCAAAATCTCCTCAAATGAAAACTGAGTCGATCTCCTCCAATTTTTAGGACAAACACTAGACTCACCAATATGAATATGAAAACTGAGTTCCTGGGCAGTGTTTGATTCCTCTTTCCAGTGTCCTTCTCTTGGTACTTACAGAAGTCTCATATATCCCGATTATTGGCCAGACAGTGTTACCATAGTCTATTTGTTTCCTCAGGGGTGCCCTTCTTTCCCCTCTCCCTTTCAGCACCTCAAAATCTCCTCACCTTTCAGGAAACTTCTAACAGGTCCCTGCCATTCTTGTGCCACAAGGGAAGCTAGAACTTCCACTCCATTCCCTGAGCTTTGTGGTCCTCATTCCTTTACTACTGAGCTGTGCACTTGAGTAGGACTCACAGTCCTGCCAGTGACTGATGCCAGGTTGATAGGGATCTGTACTGATGGATTCACGTCATTGTCATTCCCCTTTCTGCCTCCGTAACTCCAAGAAATGGAGTTGGTATATAGTGTTGTTGTTGTTGTTATGTGCCGTCGAGATGCTTGCGACTCATAGTGACCCTGTGTACAACAGCCCTAAACCCTGCTCTATGCTGTGCCAATCGCACTGCCTCTGACACTCCCATCCCGATGACCCCAGTCACTGAATCAATCCACCTCATAGAGGGTATTAAATGGAAGCATGGGTACTGGCCCTATGGCAATCTAGAGAGGATGCTGGCTCATCATTGGTGAACTGCGTCATTCCGGGCTCTTTACCTGGGAAACAGGGGCCCTAGGAGGGTGACACCTGTTTCTACTCCAGGAAAAGCTGAAGAAGCCGCAGTACTTACAGGAGGTGCCTGGTAAGCTGAGACTGTACTCACAGTTCCTGGGGAAGCGGTTATGGTTTTCAGGGGACTACATAAAGGTGGAAGAAGAAGGATATCAAAGCGCTGTAATTCCTACCAGGTGATGGACCTTCATGCCCACTTCATCTTGGCTTTCTGCAGATGATCTTTGTGGACTTTCTTGTTTATGACGTCCTTGATATGAACCGGATCTTTGAGCTGAAGTGCCTGGAGGCCTTTCCAAACCTGAAGGACATCATGGCCTGCTTTGAGGTGAAGCCCCAGATCCTGTTTCTTTAATGTTCCTTTTTTCCTTCCCTCTTTTTCATGCTGCTTTCTTACTTTGAGAACGAAAGTTAATAACTACTAGCTGGATTGACATAGTGACAGTGGGATCAAGTGTATCAGAGACGATAGGTTGGCTCAGGAGAGGGCAGAGTTCAGAGCTATTTTTCATAAGGTTGTTCATAGTCAACTCGACAGCACATGACAACAACCACAACAACAGCTTTTATGGAGGATTGCTTTCTGTCAGGACCTATACTAAGCATTTTACATATATTGTATTAGAGTCCCTTTTCACAAGATAGATAAGACTGTTCATCCCTATTTTATAAATAAGAAAACAGAGTCTGAGGGGAGTAAGAATTTGCTCAAGGTTTTATATATTATAGTTAGTGGCTTTTCTTTTCATGTCTCTAAAGGGAATGTTCAGGCCCTTTCCCTGATTCCTAAGTTTCATAGGCCAATAAAGAAGGAATAGAACCAATTCAGAATTAGTATATGTATATAGCTGACAGTAGTAGGTCTGAAATATGGAAGAACTTGTATATTAAGTTCCAAAAACACAGACGTATTGATACTTGTCCTCCAGAAAGCTTTGCACCAGTATGAGCCTTGTCTGAGCAAGGCCTGAAGTTCTGGGGTCTGTGGAGGTGCTAGGCATTATGTACTTTATTTTGTTGGTCCCTCTGTGAAGTATTTTATGTGGAAGTGGTTTATGGTAGAACAGTGTCTTTCTCTCTACTTTGTTCCTCTTTCTCTTTTCCCATTCACTAAGATTTTCCATCTCTGAGATAGATCAGTACATGTATTTTACGTCCTGTCCACTGACAGATGGTGTCCTGTGGACGAGACACTGACTGGGTCAAGCACAGTGAGGCCTGTACTGATGGCCCTGCCCTAGAGCCCACCTTCCAGGAACTCTGTGTGGTGAGGTCACTACAGTGACTGGTGTGTGGGCCTGTGATATCAACCAGATTCTAAAGGAATACCACCTGGACCCCACCTTGTACCATCACATAGAATCATCTGGTTTAAATGCAGCCCAGGCTCCTTGGTTACAGATTAGAGGATTTGAGGCAGTTAGCCTAGAGTCCTTGTTTCTTTATCATTAAGACATCTCCTCTCCTGGCTAGTTCTCATCATCTTCTGGTTCTGGTCAAACCTGAGCAGCCTGGGTTGTTGTTGTTGTTGTTGTTGTCGTCGTTGTCATTGTTGTTGTTGTTATGTGCCTTGACTTGCCTGCAACTCATAGTGATCCTATGTACAGCAGCTCTGAAGCCTGCCTTGTCCTGAGCCAGTCTCACTGACCTTGACACACCTTTCCCCAGTGTCCTAGTTACTGTATCAATCCATCTTATCTGGGGTCTTCCTCTCCTGCACTGTCCACCCTTCCAAGCATGATGTCCCTCTCCAAGGACCAATCCCTTCTGGCCACGTGCCCAAAGTTTGTAAGACAGAGCTTCAAAATCCTAGCCTCTAAGAAGAAACTAGATTTCACCCTTTCCAAGGCAGACCTATTTGTTTTCTTGGCGGCCCATGGTATGTTTAAGACTCTTCTCTAGCACCACAAATCAGAGACATCAATTCTTCTTCTATCATCCAACTCTCTGATGCATAACAAGTAATTGTGAAGACTATGTCCTGGATCAGGCACACCTTAGTCTCTACACTGGCATCATTGCTTCTCAGGATTCTGGAAAGGTCCCTAACAACAGATTCACCTAATGCAATTTGCCTTTTGATTTCCTGACTGCTGGTGCCAAGAGTGTTGAATGTGGACCCGAGCAAGCTGTAAGTATTAACAACCTCAATTTTTTCTCCATCTATCATGGTGCTGCCAATTGGCTCAGTGGTGAGAATCTTTGTTTTCTTGATGTTGAGCTTCAATCCATATTGAAAACTACAGTCCTTGATCTTCTGCAGCAAGCACTACAGGTTCTCCTTAGTTTCAGCAAGCAAGGTTGTGTCATCTGCATAATGTAGGTTGTTGATGAGTCTTCCTCCAATCCTGTGCCACATTCTTCCTCCTAAAACCCAGCTTCCAAAATTATCTGTTCTGCATATAGATTGAAAAGGTATGGGGACAGGACTCATCCCTGATGCACTCCCTTCCTGATTTTGATCCATGCAGTGTTTCCCTGCTCTGTTCTGAGGACTGCTTCCTGGTCCGAGTATAGGTTTCACATAAGCACAATCAAGTGTTTTAGGATTCCCACTTTCCTCAAGGTAAACAACTTGTGGTCCACATAGTCAAATGCCTTCGCATGGTCAATGAAACACAGAGAGATATTCCTCTGGTACTCTCTGCTTTCTGCCAAAATCTATCTGACATTGGTGATATAATGTCTCTAGTGTCATGGCCTCTTCTTAATAAAGTGACTATGAAAGTCAGCTTTGGACAGGGGTCTGCAGGCTACCAGGGCTTAAGCCCATTTGGTTTAGGGAGGTTCAAATGTCTTTAAATATTTTTTAGAGATATCTATCCTCTGATGATTGGCTAATATACACCGTAGTGTTATATGGTCTCGTCACCTTAGCTAGAAGTGTGGTGATTTAGAGCACAGTGAGTTTGGACTCAGCTATCAGGTGGAGAAGCTTGAACTCTCCTGCATGTGGAATAATAAGAGCCTGGCCCTGCCCAGCTCCACTCCTCCAACTCCCCCTGTAAAACTTCATCTGGATTTGCTGAGTCATTCTGTAGGGTTCAGTCCTCTTGGAAGGCTGAACTGGCTTGCTCTGAGCTTGGTCCAACTCAAGCCTCATTATTTGTTTAAACTCAGGAATGCTGGCCATGAACCAGAACCTCCCTCTGCAACAAAAGAAAGTTGGTTTCACAATAAATGAAGTGCCTTTCTGTAGGAAAGGGGAGAGGATGCGCACAGGCCTGGGAGAGACAGCCAAGTTGCTTCTAGCCCTATCTCAGAACTGGCTCAGTGATCCGGAAGGGATGTTTGATCTCGGTGCAGCTCAGATTCCCTTCAGAATTACGGATGGTAGAATTAATATTGTAGCACAGACCGGGGAATTTCCTAAACCTGTATTTTCATCTCCTGGAAATTTAAATACCTACTGTGTAAGGTCTTCATGCATTAGAGCTCTTGTTAGGATGA